GCACATAAGCGTTGCTTGAGCAGGGTGCACAAGATTGTGTGGCATCTGTTTGGGATGCCACACATCCTCTTCACAACTGGTTTTCCTCTTTACCTTCTGACAGGAGGGGTTTTTTTGTGGTATCCGATGCAAAACATCTGGATTCAGTTGCAGTTTTGTCCCATACAGTATTAAACTTGTCAACTCTCAAGCTTCCTCCTTCCGTTATGTTTTTCAAGATGGACAGTGATCTATCTATCTCTATATGTATTTACCATGATTCCCAAAAAATTAGATCGGGTCTTATATTTAGTTTTGATCCAAAAAGAGGGAGGGAGGGAGGGAGGGAGGGGGGGAGGGAGGGGATGGAGAGAGAGGGAGTGGCAGGGAGGAAGGGAAGCAGAGAGGCAGAGAGGGAGGGAGGGGAGCGAGAGGGAGGGAGAGAGGAAGGGGGTGAGAGGGAGGAAGGGAGGGAGTGGGAAAGCGAGGGAGGGAGGGGATGGAGAGGGGAGGGGCAGGGAGGGGAAGAGGAGGGAGGGGAGGGGGAGAAGAGGGAGGGAGCAGGAGGGGAGAGAAGGGACAGGGAGGGGGGAGGGAGAAGGAGGGAGGTAGGCAGGGAGAGGGAGGGAGGGGGAGGAAGAGAGGGAGGGAGGCAGAGATGGAGGGGGGAGTGAGGGAGGATCCAATCTGGGTTGGTATTTGGGACCAGAAGTTCCCTCCCTCCCCCCTCTCCCTCCCTCCCTCCCTCCCTCATTTGTTAAGTTTATTGGTCTCCTATCTTGCTACTCTAGGCTAAACTATGCTACTATGCTGCTCTGAACTCTGTGTGATAGTTGGATGAACCCTGGTCGATTGCTTAAAATGCGATTGGCAGGGGCCACACCTTAAACCATCAATTGTGGTTTGCAAAAGGCAGGGTCTGGGTTTACAGTGGAACGGGGTTTTCCTCTTTCACTTGTAGGTCTTTCTCTCACCCAGTGACATTTTGTTCTGTTGTTTTCTTGTGGGTCAGTGAGCTCTTCCAAGCAACTCGGCCCTGCAGTGAGTGAAGGCGAAGCTCCTCGGCAGAGCCCAGAAGGCACAGCCGCTCTGACGCAGCCCCTCAGCCAGAGGCCGGGCAGCCCAGATTCCAACGGGGGCCTTTGCCCACCTCCTGAGAGGAAGAAGGATTCCGAGGGTAGGATGAGTTGTGACCCTTTGCATTTGTGTTGCAAGGCTGAGCAGATGCTTTCCTGGTTTCGGGGGCCTTTGCTGCATCTGTTTGTGGGGGTGTTGTGTTGCAAAAGTTTGGTGCAGCATTTGTCCCTTGTCCCCTATTGATAAGGCTTGGCTCCCTTTTTATATGGCCACCTGTATATAGAGAGCAAAACCTTCCCCCTCCTAGCCCTGATGATGTTCCCTAGTTGGGTCATGAAACGTCTTGTACATGAAAACCACCAAACTCAGAGAGTATCAAGGAACCTACAGTCATTTTCATTTCCCACTTCCTCCTCCTCCACCACCACCTTTTCTTCCTCCTCATCCTCCCAACCCCCCTCCCTTCTGGCACTGATGATGTTCCCTAGTTGGCTGATGAAACATCTGCAAGAAAACAGCCAAGTTTAGAGAGCACCAAGGACTCTAAACTCCTCCATCTCTACCTCTATCACCACTTCCTCCTCCTCCTCCTCCCAAACCCCCCTCCCTTCTAGCACTGATGATGTTCCCTAGTCTGCAAGAAACCCCCCCACCTCAGAGAACACCAAGGACCCTACACATGTCTTCTCTCCTACAGGTTTCAAGGTTGCAGCTTTTATAATTTTACATTTGCTGTGCGGATACCAGGGCTTAAAGGCTTAAATGGGAGATGTGGAAAACAGTACAGATAGTCCTCAACATATGACCACAATTGAATCCGAAATTTCTGTTGCTAAGCGAGACGTTTTGCACCATTTTCTGTTGCTAAGCGAGACATTTTGCACCATCTTTCTTGCCACAGTTGTTGAGTGAACGACTGCAGTTGTTAAGTTAGCAACACGGTTGCTAAGTGAATCTGGCTTCCCCCATGGACTTTGCTTGCCAGAAGGTTCGCAAAAGGGATCGCGTGACCTCGGGACACTGCGACCGTCAGAAATATGAATCGGATTGCCAAGCATCCGAATTTTGATCATGTGATCCTGGGGAGGCTTGTAAGTGTGAAAAAGGGTCATAAGTCCCCTTTTCCAGTGCTGTTCTAACTTTGAACGGTCACTAAATGAACTGTTGTAAGTCGAGGACCATCTGTACAGAGGCCTGCCATTGTCCACCAGCGCCCTGCTCTTCGACATGGCCGAAGCTGTCCTTGGAAGCTGCTGTAATTGTCTTCCCTTTCTGTCTCTGTTGGGTGGGCAGGTCATCAAAGCACCATCTCGAGATGCTCCGATAATGTGGCAGAAGGCAGCGAAAGCAAAGTTGAGAAACCTCTGGAGAACTTTGTTCGTGACTCATCGTCCACCTCGGATAACTCTTCCATTCGTCCTGGTGATGGAGAGGAAACATCGATGCCCCCCAGGAAACGATCACGTTTGTCCCGGGGACCTAGCGACTCTGACAGAAGCTCTGGCCAAGAGGTCGAACCATTGTTGGTGAGGCCTCCTGAGCAGAACGTAGATGATGGAATGGTCAAACAGGAAGTTCGAGTCGTCGAGGTATTTCCTCTTCCTAATGTCCACTCTGGGCTCTTAGAACTAAATCTGAGGATGACATACCTCTAGGAACCATGGAAAAGCTGCAAAATGACCACCTTCAGGAGATCTTTGCCCTGGTGCCTGTAGTTGATCTTCTCCAAAACTTCTCTCGGCTGGGTCAGCACTGGAAGCTTATCATCTCTGACATGAAGGTAAGCTATGCCTTTACCTCATCTTCCAATATTTGAGGGGCTGCCTCAGAGAAGAGTGGGTCAACCTATTCTCCAAAGCAAAAGTGCCCACAGAATGACACAACAGGTTGATTAAAGCATCAATCACACCATCGTGACCACCATAGTGACTTTCTCACCAGTGTGGACACTACTAGTTTTATGTCTGATAGTCTGAGGGATCCTTATTGTTGTTTTACACCGACTGGAATCTATATGCTTGGCTATCTTCCTCAGAGTGAAAGGACCTTCCAATATTTGAGGGGCTGTCCCAAAGAAGAGGGAGTCAAGCTATTCTCCAAAGGGTCTGAAGGCAGGACAAGAAGCAACAGATGGAAACCGACCAGGGGAGAGAAGCAACCTGGAACTAAGGGGAAATTTCCTGACAGTGAGAACAATTAACCAGTGGAACAACCTGCCTCCAGAAGTCCAGTGCTGAAAGATTTAGAGAAGAGATTGAACAGCTGTTTGCCTAGAATGGTATAGGGTTTCCTGCCTGAGCAGAGGATTGGACTAGAAGACCTCCAAGGTCCCGTCAACTCTGTTATTCTGTGAACAGAAGGGGATTTTAAACAGGATTATGTTCTTGTCTATGGTTAGACTATGGAGGAAACGTTGCAAGGGAGACTGAATCTGCACTGGGTCCTGTCCATCCTCCTGAGAATAACACACTTGGAAGGGACCTGGAGGTCATCTAGTCCAACCCCCTGCTTAGGCAGGAAATCCTATACCATTTCAGACAAATGACTCTCCAGTCTCTTCTTAAAAACTTCCAGTGTTGGAGCATTCACCACTTCTGGAGGCAGGTTGTTCCACTGGTTAATTGTTCTCACTGTCAGGGAATTCCTCCTTAGTTCCAGGTTGCTTCTCTCCTTGATGAGTTTCCATCCGTTGCTTCTTGTCCTGCCTTCAGGCCCTTGGGAGAACAGCTTGACTCCCTCTTCTTTAGGGCAGCCCCTCAGATGTTGGAAGACTGATATCATGTCCCCCCTCGTCCTTCTCTTTGTTGGACTCTTCGTTAGCCACAGTAGATCACATCAGATAAATCCTTTTAATCAGAGGAAGACAGCCAAGCATATAGATTCCAGCCGGTGTAAAACAAGAGTAAGGACCCCTCAGAGTATCAGACATAAAACTAGTAGTGTCCACACTGATGAGAAAGTCAGTATGGTGGTCACGATGGTGTGATTGATGCTTTAATCAACCTGTTGTGTCATTCTGTGGGCACTTTTGCTTTGGAGAATAGGTTGACCCACTCTTCTTTGTGGCAGCCCCTCAAATATTGGAAGACGAGATAAAGGCATCACTTACCTTCATGGCAGAGATGAAAAGCTTCCAGTGCTGACCCAGCCGAGAAAGGTTTTGGAGAAGATCAACTACAGGCACCAGGGCAAAGATCTCCTGAAGGTGTCATTTGGCAGCTCCTCCATGGTTGGTCTAACAGGTATCTGCCACCACTTTGGAAATGATTAACGAATCAATGCTGCAAACACTGAATTATGGGGAGATAGGTAATGTTCAGAATTGCACCACACTTCTTCTGTTCTTGAAGACAAATCTCCTGTTTTCTAAGGTGTTCATCTTGCTTCTTATGAATCGAAACAATCCCAAAGAAAATTTAATTTCTAATCTAATCCAAGAGCAGGAATGCTTCTAAAAGTTCAGTCCCTCAAGCGAAGATTGTGCCCAGTCAAAAGTGAACCTGACTCCACATCGGTGTTGAACTCCCTTCAATGGTGGGACTCCCTGGCGCTGTCACGGGGAGCAGTATTAGAACCAGACAGGATTACCATTAGCACAGATGCAAGCCTGTTTGGGTGGGGGGGCACACCTCCACACGCACTGGGCTCAAGGTCGGTGGTCCAAACAGGACTTAAAGAACAATATAAACTGGCTGGAACTCAGAGCCATACATAGGGCCCTAAAGAGATTCACCGATATAGTACAGGGCCAACATGTCCTGATTTTAACCGACAACATTACAGCCAAGGCCCACGTCAACAGACAAGGGGGGACAAGGTCCAGGCCTCTCATGCAGGAGGCCAAATTGCTGGGGTCCTGGGCGGAACTGAATCTTGCCTCCATCAGGGCGGAGCACATATCCGGAGTGACCAACCAGCAGGCGGACTCACTGAGCAGAGCAACCGTGGACCATTCCGAAGGGCAGCTGGATCCGAAGGTGTTCAGAGAGATCGTGGACAGGTTTGTTTCCCCAACCTTAGACCTTTTGCCTCCCCTACCAACTCACAACTTCCCAGGTTCCTTTCCAGGTTCCCGTCTCCCTCAGCGGAGGGAACAGATGCGCTCCGCAGTCTCTGGCCCAGGGAACTGCTCTATGCCTTCCCTCCCCTGCCACGATCAGGAAGATCCTTCGCGAATGAGCAGAGGTCCTCCTGGTTGTGCCGCATTGGCCGAGACGCTCTTGGTCGCCGACCTGATGGAGCTCTCCGCATCCCCTCCATGGAGGATCCCAGCAAATCGCATCTCCCACATTCAGGGGGAACTACGCCATCCAGACCCTCAATGGCTCCAGTTAACTGTCTGGCACTTGAGAGGCAGGCCTTAGGCCGAGACTCATATTCATTGAAGGTCATAGCTATGATTCAGCAATCCAGGCGACCCTCGACAAATAGAATATACGATGCCACGTGGAGAGGCTCCTGCAACTGGTGTTTAGTTCGAAAAATTGACCTTTTGGCGGTTTCAATGCCAGTTATTTGGAGTTCCCGAGGGATGGTCTAGACAAAGGGCTTTCCACAAGCACCATCCGCAGGCAGGTAGCATCACTTGCCACAGTTATTTCCTGCGGCAATGAATCCTTAACACATCACCCTATGATACGCTCCTTCCTAAAAGGAGCTAACAACGTCAGACCATCAACTGTACATAGATACCCCTCGTGGGATCTTCATCAGGTTTATAGGCTCTTGTTTCGCACCCTTTGAACTATTGACACTGGTTTGTTCAAACAGTTATCGATGAAGGTGGCATTTCTTGTTGCTGTAACTTCAGCCAGAAGGATCTCTGAACTGGCTGCTCTTCAGTGAGGAAGGACCTGTGTACTTTCCATAAGGACAGGGTAACCCTTAGGCTAGGCCCCTCCTTCGTGCCTAAGGTCAAGTCCTTGTATCATAGATCTCAGGAAATATTAAAAGCGGGATTTAAGAAAAAAAATCTTAAGAAAAAAAAACAATATCCAATGTTTTGCTCAGGAATTTCCGTTCATTTCTTGGATGGATGTGTACAATCTGTATTTGGAGGGAGACAGCCGAGCCTTGGGGGCTGTCCGAGACAGTCTGCAGCGGTACGGCCTAACCAAGAATCACCCCAGATGCATGCCTGGATTAATTCGGTGAGTGGTTTTCAGTAACACAACCACAAATCCTCTCTTTTGCTTTAGTTAAACAGGTATCCTGATATAGGTAGTCCTCGACTGACCGTCGCAATTGAGCCACAAATTTCCGTTGCTGTGCAAGACAGTCGTGACGTTACGACCTTCCTTGCCACGGTTCTTAAGCGAGTCAATGCAATTAAGTTAGCAACTCGGTTGTGAAGTGAAACTGGCTTCCCCATGGAGTTCGCTTGTCAGAAGGTCGCAAGAGGGGATCACGTGACCCCGGGGCACAGCAACCGTCATAAATGTGAGTCAATTTCCAAGCCTCTGAATTTTGATCAGGTGACCCTGGTGCTGCTGATGCAGCAACGGTCGTAAGTGTGAAAAATGGTCCTAAGTCACTTTTTTCAGTGGCGTTGTAACTTCGAAGGGTCACCAAGCAAATCGTTGTAAGTCGAGGACTCGTCATCCTAGTCAGCCATTCAATCGCGTGTGACTCTCGGCCCCTCTATGGACTGACGCCCTCCGTGCCCCTCTCTCTTGCACCGCTGGATCTGCCAAGGGTCTGAATACACCTGCACAGGTAGTCCCCGACTTACAGCAGTTCATTTACTGACCGTTCAGAGTTACAGCGGCATAGAAAAAAGGGACTTATGACCATTTTTCACACTTACGACCTTTGCAGCACCCCTGTGGTCATTTGATCCAAATTTGGACTCTTGGCAACGGACCCATATTTATGACGGCCGCAGCATCCCGGGATCACGTGATCCCCTTTTGCGACCTTCTGACAAGCAAAGTCAATGAGGAAGCCGGATTCGCTTAACAACCGTGTTACTAATTTAACAACTGCAGCGGTTCTCTTAACAAAAGTGACAATGTCATAAAATGGGGCAAAACTCTCTTAACACATTTCTCACTTAGCATAGCAACATAAATTGTGGGCTCAGTTGTGGCCTCACGTTGAGGACCCCGTGCGCCTTATCAACGGTGAGCTGGCTTATGTAACCAAGTAAAGATAAGAAATCTGCATATAAGGGCTTCAGACTGCGTTGAGTGTTCTCCCAGTCTTACGAAAGGACCCACCTTTGCTCAGCTGAATGAACGCGTATCTTTAACGGAGATCACCCGGACTCTCTTCCCAAGAAGCCACACGACCTCGAGGACTCCCTGTAACCCAGCCATCCCCAAGCTTTCCAGCTGGGAGCCTGACCTGGTGCTGTGGGGGCAGACCTGTGAATGGCAGGCGCACGCCCACAGCTCCATTTGTGCGAGCAGCACATCTGCCCTCCACTCACACAAATGGAGCTTCGCATATGAGCAGAGGATGCTTGCGCTCATGCACGAAGCTCCATTTGCGCAAGCGCAACCTGCAGTGCAAGCAGAGGGCACTTGTGGGAGCACACGAATGCTTCACCCGCCTGAGTGTAAGCGCCTTCTCCCAGGAATAGTTTTGCGCACAAGTGCAAGCCCCTTCCGCTCACATGAGTGGAGCTTCAGACATGCACCCCTGCTGCAACCATTCCACTCCTATTAGGTTATCTGAGCAGGGGGTTGGAGCAGATGACCTCCAAGGTCCCTTCCAACTTTATTATTATTATTATTACTACTATTACTACTATTACTACTACTACTACTACTCTTAGTATCTAGGAATTGCCAACTTGCTAAAATCACAAAAAGGAGTTGAACTGGGGAAGAAATCTATGTCTGTAGAGAAGGCCGTCACCTGTCCCTGTTTCTCTTCCCAATCCAGGTGTGTGGCTGCTGTTCGGAGCTGCCACTGCCGAGATCCTACCGCTATCCTCGCGTGTCTGGAATGCCACTCGCTGTTTCCCAAGGCGCAAATCTGCATTGCCAAGAATCTTCCGGATTTGGAGAGTTGCAAAGAGAAAGTATGTCTCGGCAGGTTTAAACACTTATCTGGAATTGATCTTTGGGCGCGTTTCGATGGTGTTTCCCCTGGGAGATTTGTTGTCTTGCTCAGAATTTGGATTGGATGGTCACTCAAAAGGCAATGGATTGCAAGACAAGAGAGTTCTAGCAACCATTCATTTAGCGATCATTTAGTGATTTATATGAATGCCAGGCTTCCAAAAACCAAGGACCACCACCACCACCTCCTTCTCCTCTGCAAACCCATTTCCTTTTAGCACTGATGATGTTACCTAGTCAGCTGATGACACTTCTGTAAGAAAACAACAAGGTCAGAGAGCACAAGGGGCCCCACAGTCCTCACCCCCTTCCTCCTCCTCCTCTGTGCAGACCCCACTCCCTTGTAGCACTGATGATGTTCCCTAGTTGGGTGATGAAACGTCTGCAAGGAAACCCACCAAGCTCAGAGAGCACCAAGGACTCCACATTCCTTGAATAGCTGCAAGTTCAGGACTATTTGTACCATTTAACTTGCTCTCCTGCCAGACAGGACAGAAAATACAAGGTTGCCCCCATCCCGATAATGATCCCACCCCATGTTCTTCCAGGCGGCCTATGTTCGGGCAGTGATGGCGGCCATTGTGCTCTTCGCTGGAGGTGTTTGCGATATTCAGGATCTGGTGGGCTGCCTCCAAAGGCCCACCTCTCCCATGTCGCTGATGGACATCAATGAAATGTTATACTGCACAGCCACCCTTCTTTATGCCATGCGAGAGAACGGGGTCAAGATCAGCAACAGGTCAGTTTGAAAAGGGTCAGGAGAGACACTTAGGACGGAAACCTGTCCTTTACGGCAGTAGTAAAAGTAGAAATACATCTTTGGCAGGGCTTTGTGTGTATTTAAAAATGGTTCAGAAAAAGCACTTTGGATCTAGCATGAGAGCCGATTTGGTCTAGCGGTTAAGGCACCAAGGTAGAAAGCAGGAGACGGTGATTTCTAGTCCTGCCATAGGCATAAAAGCCAACTGGGTGACTCTGGGCCAATCAGCAGGAGACTGTGAGTTCTAGTTCTGCCTTAGGCATGAAAGCTGGCTGGGTGTCTTTAGTCTTGTCTGTCTGTCTCTCAGCCCAACGCACCTCAGAGGGTTGTTTTTGTGGGAAAAGTAGTAGGAGGAAGCTATATTGGATACATTCGTCCCCTTGAGTTATGTGCAAAAAGAATTCAGGTGGGTTATCAATCACCAAAAGCAACACTTCTCCTACTCATTAAAGCAGCTGCAACTTTGCTCAGGCTTTCTCACGCATCTGCAAACAGATACTGCTGATTTCAAGGGTTGGTTCCTTAAAGCAGAAATCCGCGGAGGTGTGTTTATTCTCCTCTCTGAATTATTTTTCCTGGATTTTATACAGTTTAGAGTTTACTTTGAGATTCATTATAACGTTTCTCATTTTCCCTATCCTTCTAGGTTTTATTACAATGTTTTTTATTATTTTCGTACCGTGGAGAATTGGCCCTACAACGACTCCAACCCTGAATTACTGGATTGTAGGTACGTACGTTAACTTTGTGTCTCGATACAGAGAGTCCTCGATTTACAGCAGTTCGCTTGGTGACCCTTCAAAGTTACAACGGCACTGGAAAAAAGTGACCTATGGCCATTTTTCACACGACCGTTGCAGCCTCCCCATGGTCACATGATCGAAATTCAGAGGCTTGGCAACTGATTCATATTTATGACGGTCGCAGCATCCTGGGCTCATGTGATCCCTTTTTATGATCTTCTGATAAGAAAAGTCAATGGGGGAAGCCAGATTCTTTTAACGACTGTGTTACTAACTTAACAACTGAAGCGATTCACTTAACAATCATGGCAGGAAAGGCCATAAGATGGGGCAAAACACACCTAACAAATGTTAACAACAGAAATGTTGGGCTCAGTGGTCGTAAGTTTGAAACATGGTCATAAGTTACTTTTTTCAGTGCCGTTGTAACTTTGAACAGTCACTAAATGAACTGTTGTAAGTCGAGGACTACCTGTATAAGTTTTCCCAGGAGAACCAGGGAATAATTTAGCCCAATGTTTCCCAACCTTGACAACTTTAAGCTGCATGGACGTCACTCCCAGAATTCCCTAGCCAGCAAATGCTGACTGGGGAATTCTGGGAGTTGAAGTCCACCCATCTTAAAGATGCAACTTTTAGACCCTGTTTGCTATGTTGCAAAAAACACCTGGTTACCTATGTTAGCTTTTTACTTTTTTCTGCTTCTGTTCATCAACAGGACTGACTTAAAGCCTACCAGAGAACAAGAACAGATCTTGAACCACGCCTTTAAAAAACCTGGAGAGGTGGTAAAAATTGTGGGTTTTGCAGGTAAGGCAGCCCCAGCCCAGGAGATACTTGATTCTGTCTGCAGGTGCAAATTTACTGATCATTGTATATCTTGAGAACTGAGATCACCTTGCCCGGATCTTCATTTCACCAGCTTTCCCGAATTCCTCCAAAGATCTCTTGCTATTTACAACAATATTGTCCTTGCTGGTGATGTAGGCTGCTACGGTTCTTCTCCACCATTATAGGGAGATTGTAGTGTTACCGATAGAAGAGAATATTTGTAGCTCATGGTTGGACTGTTGTTGCTCTCTGAGCTGGGTGGTTTTCTTGCAGACGTTTCATGACCCAACTAGGGAACATGATCAGTGCTTAGAAGCCTTTTAGTACAAGCCTTCTAGCAATGATCATGTTATCTAGTTGGGTCATGAAACCTCTGCAAGAAAACAACCAAGCTCAGAGAGCACTCAAGACCCCACAGTTCTCCTCTTCCTCCCCCTCCCCCCAACTCCTCCACAAACCCCACTCCCTTCAAGCACTGATGATGTGACCTACTTGGGTCATGAAATGTCTGCAACTGAACACCAAGGACGCCGCAGTCTTCCTCCTCCACAAACCGCGCTCCCTTCAAGCACTGATGATGTTACCTACTTGGGTCACCACCAAGGATGTCACAATCCTCCTCCTCCTCCACCACCACCACCACCACAAACTGCACTCCCTTCAAGCACTGATGATGTTACCTACTTGGGTCGTGAAATGAATGTAAGAAAATGACCAAACTCGGAGATATCAAGAACCCAGCAGTTCAACTGTGAGCTACAAATATTCTCCTCCATACATACATTTGCGCTCTTTCTGTCTCTCTCTCTCTCTCACACACACACACACATACACAAACACTCATATACACTTACCCACATCCTTCTCCACTAGGCTGGCAGAATGGGTGGGCTTTCTTTGTAGATTGACAAGACTGGAAGCTACTACAGATAGTCCCAGACTTACAGCAGTTCACTTAGTGACCGTTCAGAGTTACAGTGACATGGAAAAAAGGGATTTACGACTCCTTTTCACACTTACAACCTTTGCAGCATCCCCACGGTCACGTGATCAAAATTCAGACGCTTGGGAACTGACTCCTATTTATGACTGTTGCAGTGTCCTCAGGGTCACGGGATCCCTTTTGCGACCTCCTGACCAGCAGAGTCAGCGTGGAAACCAGATTCACTTAACAACCATGTTACTAAATTAACAACCGCAGTGATTCACTTAACCACTGTGGCAAGAAAGGTTGTAAAATGGGGCAAAAATTACCTAAGAAATGTTTCACTTAGCAACGAAAATTTGGGGCACAATTGTGGTCGTAAGTCGAGGACTGCCTGTGTTGCCTTGTTGGTTTTCAAGTCTGATAGCTGTTGATGGGATTTGCACAGGGGGCCTCTCCCTCTGCTGAGAACCCCATTTTGTTTTTGTCTGGTTCAAGTGACTTTTTTCCCCCTTGTTTCCTTAATGACTTGGTTCCTTCTCATTGGAAGGGATCTATTAGATCTGTTAGTCCTGGATTTTATCCACCTTGCTTAATTTCATCTGTAGACATGGAAGCTTCACATCTTTCACCTGCAAAGTCCTGGGGATTTTTTTTTTTTCTGCCATCCTGGCTGTCTGGAAGGAACCTGGCTAGGAAATAACAATCCGGAAGGACTGAAATGTTTTTAATTTTTCACACAGGCACCGGGAAAACGTACACACTGATCCAGTACACCAAGAAATGGCCCAAGCTTAAGTTCTTATACTTGGCGTTCAACAGTTCCGTCCGAGAACAGGCGAAGCAGCTTTTCCCTGAGAACGTCACCTGTGAAACCTTCCACTCCTTAGCTAAGGAAGCAGTCAAAACAGAGTAAGGAGCTGCCTCCTATTTAATGAATCTGCCCTGGTTTTAAAAAAAACAGTGATGTGGTGAGGTATAACATAATGAAAAAGAAAAGGTAACCCCCCCAAAAATAAAACCAAAGAGCTGATAAGATCCCAACAAACCAGCAATAAAACAATTTATTATTTTGAAATAGTTTCTTAAGACATTCGTGAAATAAAATAGGTTTCTCTGTTGCTGGAAGGATTGTGAAGAGAATAATAGAATTGGAAGGGACCTTGGAGGTCTTCTAGTCCAATCCCCTGCTGAGGCAGGAGACCCTATAACATTTCAGACAAACAGTTGTCAAATCTCTTCTTAAACACCGCCGGTGTTGGAGCATCCACAACTTCTGGAGGCAAGCCATCCCACTGATTAATTGTTCTGTCTGTCAGGAGAATTCATGAAAGAGTGATTCACTTCAATTCGAGGTGGGTAACAGATGTTCTTTTCCCACCAAATCGCGATTTAAAGCATACTGCCCACATCCCAGAAATTAATATGGACTCTGGGGTCCTTTCTGCTCTCTGAGCTTGGCTGTTTGGTTGCAGACGTTTCATGAACCCAAGTAGGTAACATCATCAGTGCTATCTAAAACGGCAGAGAATTCCTGGCACTCTGGGAAAAAAAATCAGCCATCAACAGGCACATTGAGATAAACAACAACTACATACCATTGAAAACAGATAATCCAAAAGCCAAAAAGGAAACAGAATGACCAAAAGACTTCCTTGCCAGCAACTAACAAGCAGAGATTAAATACCAGGATTAATTCTTCCGTCCCTCTTTCATTTGGCTGCAGTTACCAAAGAGAACTTGAACTGTTCCCGCTGACGTCCTATGTGGACAGCTTTCTCCAATCCAATCGCCAGGAAAAGCTTCCGTTCATCAGAGTCAGCATGATCGTTCAGACCCTCACTGCGTTTTTCGCTTCAGCGGATGACTCTATCACTGTGGACCACACACCCAAATGGTGCAAGAACAACTGCGAGAAATTCAAAAACTGTGGATTTGGTGCTGAGGAGCTATGTCAGGTACAGGTTACTCCTTGACTTTCAACTGTTTCTTTAGTGACCGAAGTTACAACAGTACTGCAAAGAATAACTTCGGATCATTTTTCACACACATGACCTTTGCAGCATCCCCATGGTCACGCGATCAAAATTCGGATGCTCGGCACCTGATTCGTATTTCTGACAGTTGCAGGGTTCTCGGCTCACATGATCCCCTTTTGCAACCTTCTGACAAGCAAAACCAATGGGGAAGCCAGATTCAGGGTGGAAATTGGTTCTCTGACCTTGTGGGTTGGTTTCCAAACTTTTTCTTACTGAGCTAGGTAACGTCTTCAGTGGAGTTGAGGGGATGTCAGTGTCGCTGTTCTTTTGTTGATGAGGGCTTCAGGTGTGGGTGTGTGTCGAGTGAGGGTCTTGTGATGAGTCAGGTGTGAGTCATCAGTGAGAGGCTAGTGATGGGTCTCGTCATGGGGAGGTTATGTCAGGTCAGGATCCTTGGGAGGTGAATTGCTGGTAGTGGGGGATTGCACGGGATGGTTGAGGGTCGGTGTCGTCCCCGGTTGGCTGTGTGGTTGATTTGGATTCTGAGGGGTGCGAAGGCCAGTTGTAGGTTGATGTGTCTGTGGATGGAATTGCTGGTGGAGTGCCAGGCTTCGAAAAACTCATGTGCCTGGCGGGTGGTGGCGTGGCTGATGATTTGTGTGCTGCTCCAATCAATTGCTCCACCTCCCCATCACAACACCCAAGCCCCTCATTGATGACTCACGCCTGACCCATCACAACCCTCACTCGACACACCCACACCTGAAGCCCTTATCAACAGAAGAACACGGACATCCCCTCCACTCTGCTGAAGATGTTACCTAGCCCGGTAATGAAACGTTCGGAAACCAACCCACAAGCTCGGAGAACGAACCTTCACCCTCATCCTACACCTGAACTGCAGATATTTGCCCCTATTGCAACTGTGTGACGAACTTAACAACTTCAGTGATTCACTTAACAACTGTGGCAAGAAAAGTTGTAAAATGGGGCAAAACTCACGTGACAGCGGTCTTGCTCAGCAATGGAAATTTGGGTCTCAATTGTGGTCGTAAGAAGAGGACTACCTGTGGATCCAGACCGTCCTTCTCCTTCAAGGTCTCTGGGCAGTCTGGATGAGAAAGCCTCGGATCTGATCTTGTCTGGCAAAATCTACTTATCAGCTTTTGCTTTCTAGATCATTGTTGAAGATGCAAAACAAATATGGAGGGAGATGCAGACGCTGAGCCCAACCGGGGAAATGGCGCACCGAATGACGCACGAAGGTAGGTGGGATATGTGAGGTTTCATTTAGTTCTGGTTGCATTTAGCTCTGCTGAAGAAAGAGGAAGAAAAAAATAAGAATAAAGGGCAGTTTTTTTCACGGAGAGAAATTCTAGTCCTTAGGCAAAAAGCCAGCTGGGTGACTTTGGGCCAATCACCAGGAGATGGTGAGTTCTACTCCCGCCTTAGGAATGAAAACCAGCTTGGTGACTTTGGGCCAATTATTAGGTGACAGTGAGTTCAAGTTCCGCCTCAGGAATGAAAGCTGGCTGTGTGACTTGGGAATAATCACCAGGAAATGGTGAGTTCTAGTCCCTCCTTAAAGCATGAAAGCCAGCTGGTGATTATGGACCAATCATTAGAAGACAGTGAGTTCAAATCCCACCTTAGGAATGAAAGCTGGCTGGGTGCCTTTGAACTAATCACCAGAGACGGTGAATTCTAGTACTGTAGCCATGAAAGCTGGCTGGGTGACTTTGGGCCAATCACCAGGAGACTGGGAGTTCTAGTCCTGTCTTGGCCGGTTTAAGACTTGTGGACTTCAGTTCTCGGGAGTTTCCCAGCCAGCATCTTGGGAGTTGAAGTCCACACATCTTTAAGTGGCCAAGCTTGGGAAACCCTGTATTAAAAGAAAATATATCATCATGCTTCCTTTTAAAAGCAATAGTGGGCTCTGTTTCTGTTGTAACACAGGAGTCCCAGACCAGAAAAATGCAAATGTTGCTTTTTTGTGCACTGATGTTGATTTTAAGCATCGGTCTTAGGTCTTTTAGATTACTTGAAGCTTTGGCAACTCCAGAAGCCTTCGCTTTCCGAATACGATGTCATCTTGGTGGATGAGGCCCAAGATTGCACCCCCGGTGAGTGAGGTGTAGGTTCTGGGTCCAGTTTTCCAAGTACAGGTAGTCCTCGACTTACGAGATTTCCTTAGTGACCATTTGATATTACGACAGCTCTGAAAGAAGGAACATGATCATTTTTCTCACGACCGTTGCAGCATCCTCACGGTCACATGATCAAAATTGGGAGGTTTGGCAACTGATTCATATTTATGACAGTCGCAGTATCCCAGGAGGTCACGTGGTCCTCTTTTGCAACCTTCTGACAAACAAGGTCAATGGGGAAGCCCGGACTGATGATCCCAACGAAGTAAGCACAACCGAGACACTCCAATCACTAGTGCAGACTTTATTGAGTACAGCATACCGGCACTGTTGAATGGAAAACCAGCTCTTGTTAAAATGGTGCCAAGCAGGATATTAAAAGTACATGGAATGCAGGTCACATCCCCCAATTAAGTGGCCGATAATTGTTGTGAAAAAATTTCTGTAGTTCTGCAGTTCTCAGCCATCAGTTCTTCAATGACCTGGGGTCCCACACTCACACCTGCACAAGCACACAACAAAATAATATGTCTTTGTAGCTGGACAGCCGGATTCCCTTATTAACAACTGTGTTACTAACTTAACCACTGCAGTGATTCACTTAAGAGCTGCGGCACTAGAAAAGTCGTAAAAAGGGACAAAACTCACATAACTCTTTTGCTTGGCAACAGGAATTTTGGGGACTGCTTCTGTTGATTGGATTCATCTTTTGGTGCAGTTGCCCCAGAGGAATAATTCTTAAGGAATTTTTAATTCTTTGCACAGGGCTGGCTGGGGAATTCTGGGAGTTGAAGTCCACCCATCTTAAAGCAGACAGGCTGGGGAATTCTGGGAGTTGAAATCCACCCACCTTAAAGCAGGCAGGCTGGGGGATTCTGGGAGTTGAAGTCCACATACCGTCAACTTGCCAAGGTTGAAAAACTGATTAGGGAACTATCAGGGGAAACTCTGTAAGATCCATGAATTGTGAGTTTGGGATATTGGGGTGTGATTTCCTGCAAACCTCTCCTGTTTTGGAAACTCCAGTTCCCATCATTTACGATAAAGATTAAAAAAATTAAAATCCACCGTTCATTAAAGCCGCTCTCTCTTTTTGAGGGTCTTGTTCCTGTGAGAACGTTGGCCTTGGCTTCCTTTCCACATCAAGCTTCTAAAGATCTCTCCTTTTCCTTTCTCTAGCTATGGCAGACATTGTTCGCTCACAAAAGTGTAGTGTGATCTTGGTAGGAGACCCACACCAAAAGATCTACTCCTTCTGTGGTGCTGATAACACAATTTTCAACATCCCTCACGACCACATCTTTTACCTGACACACGTAAGTCGAGGCAGGATGGCAGACTAGCTGGGATGCTTGACTTGGAGTTGTGGGTTACCTGTAGATTGAAGATCCAGATGTTTCAGTTCCAAGCAGTTCATGGGTCTCATTGTGGGTCCTCTCCAGTTCCAATTGAAAGCTATCTCGCAAGATACACATTTCATTCGCTTTCTCTCTCTCTCTCTCTCTATCTCTATCTCTATCGTGTGTGTTAGTGGATTTGCCAAACAACAGCACTTCCAGTTTTGGTTTGCTTAATCAGTGCGGCATTCACTGAAGACCCTGCAAAACAAGTGATGCTGCATTTTCCTTCCCCCTCTTGCTTCCGCAGAGTTTTCGCTTTGGCTCCGAAATCGCTTACGTGGGCGCGACCATTCTGGATGTCTCCAAGGGAGTCCGGAAGAAAACGCTGGTGGGGAACAAGCAGGAAAGTGAGTCTTTGAAGCCAGTTGTCCTTTGGTTGCTCCAGGTGAGTCTGGCTAGGCGGGACTGAGGCGGTGCTCTCTTTTCGACAGGTGACGTCAGTGGGGTCGGCGTGGAGGGGACGGTGGCCCACTTATCCCGGACCAACAAAACTGTCTTTGAGGATGCTGTGAAGCTTACCTGTGGAGACACACCTGCTAAGATACACTTGCTCGGGGTGAGTGTGAGAAGGCACAGGAAGGACGCAGTAGGGGTTCCTCCCTCCCTCCCTCTTTTCCTTCCTTCTTTCCTCTTTTCCTACCTTCTCTTCATCCCTTCTTTCTTCCTCCCTCCCTCCCCATCTCCTTCCGCCCTCCCTTCCTTCCTTCCTCCCTCCCTCCCTCCCTCCCTCCCTCCCTCCCTCTAAAAACTAAAAACCTATAGCTTCCTGGTTGGACTTTTTGTTGGCAATTTTTACTCCAGTGTTGAAGATGTTAATGCTCCCTAAAAGACTGAGCTGTTTGATTCACGACACCTCCAAAGTCTTTATTAATATTCTTGAGATATCTGCAGTGTCCCTGTTGTGCTTCAGCATCTCAGGGTTGTTTGTAGCATACAGAACAACAGAGTTGGAAGGGACCTTGGAGGTCTTCTAGTCCAACCCTCTGCTCAGGCAGGAAACCCTCTACCATTTCACACAAGGGGCTGTCCAGTCTCTTCTTAAAATCCTCCAGTTTTGGAGCACCCACAACTTCAGGAGGCCAGCTGTTCCACTGGTTAATTGTTCTCACTGTTAGGGAAATTTCTCCTTAGTTGCAGGTTGCTTCTGTCCTTGATGAGTTTCCCTCCGTTGCTTCTTCTCCTGCGTCCCGGTGCTTTGGAAAATAAGTTTGCGAGACCGCCTATTACCTCATAGTTCCCTACATCCGGTTAGATCCCACCGGCTGGGCCTCCTTCAGGTCCCGTCGGCCAGGCAGTGCCGTTTGGCGGGGCCGCTGGCGCCCACGTCCTGGAACCAGCTCCCCCCCGGAGATTAGGAACGCTCCCACCCTGTTGGTTTTCCGTAAGCTGCTTAAGACCTGGCTTTTCCGGCAGGCCTGGGGTTTATAAAATCTGACCCCTGGATGACTGTTATTGCACTGTTTGTTTTGTCATGTTTTATGTTGTTTTTATTGTTAGCCGCCCAGAGTCCTGCGGGAGTGGGGCGGTTTATAAATTTTAAAAATAAATAAATAAAATAAATAAATAAGTTCTTTGTTGCAGCCGCTCAGATATTGGAAGGCTGCTATGTTGAGGAATGTGTGGCAAAACCAATGGATTCTGCAGATGCCTCTTAATGTTTGGAGGGCATTAAGGAGCCCCAAAGGGCGGACAGATAATTATGACTATGCATCGGACTACAAGTCCCATCTCACAGGGCTCTACTTGATGTTGTTGTCCTCTTTTAATCAGGGACTTGAAGCCTTTGACAAGATTCGTGATATCTGGGCGCTTCGTCATCCTGAAGGTGAGTTCTCTCAGCCGGTGTTTGTGTAGATGTCCAAGCTGTGTACAGGCAGCGCTTGACATACCATCCTTCACGGAGCGTGCCCAATGTGGTCATACGTTGTAAAGTCATAAAATGGGTCAGTTATGCGGCCAATCCGCTTTTACGAGCCTTTTTGCAGGGGTCATTCAGCGAAATCTCTGGTTAAGTGAATCAAGGGTTTGCTGTGAGAGTTTGAAGGAAATAAGCACTGCTTTTCAGCAAAGCCTTGTAAAACCCGGTGATGTGACTGTAGGAAACGGGATGGCCATAAAGACTACCACATTGCCCGTGACAACACAACGACAAAGGAGGCTTGAGGTGTCACAACTTCAAACCTGGGTTGTAAGTCCCTGTTTTCGGATTAGTCTTTGGGTGGTCTCAACCGTTTGTTTAGTGACCGTTCGAAATTACAACAGCACTGAGAACAGTGACTTACGACCGTTCCTCACTCTTGACGACCATTGAGGCATCCTCGTGGTTACATGATCAAAATTCAGACGCTTGGCAACTGGCAGGCACTTAGGACGGTTGCAGTGTCCCGGGGTCACGTGGTCGCCAGCTGACCATAGGAAAAAAAGATTGTAAAGTTGGACGTGACTCACTTAACAACTTGCCTTGATCTTAGGAAGACTCGAGATACAGGATCCCTTCATCAAAAGTTGGAAAAAAAAAGGCTTCAAGAGCTTCAAGAACCATGCTAAAGAAACAGAAGATGAAGAACTAAAAACAATAATTGCAATTGTGGAGGAGACTCAGGGTTCTATTCCGGATTTGTTGGACAAAATATCCCAGCACCATGTCTCGGCTCCAGAAGATGCAGGTAAATATCCTGCGCAAAGAGCCAGATCCAGACAAATAGCATTCAAACTAGCTTCTTTTATTACTATCGTCTGCCTATAATACAGATAGTCCTCCACGTACGACAGTTCCTTTAGTGACCATTCAAAGTCACAACGGCACCAAGAAAAGTGACTTATGACCGCCTTTCACACTTAACAACCATTGCCGCATCCCCGGGGTCCCGTGATCAAAATTCGGACGCTTGAGAACGGACTCACCTTTATGACGGTTGCCGTGTCCCCGGAGTCACGTGATTCCCCATTTGCGACAATCAAAGTCACTCGGGAAGCTAGATTCGCTTTACAGCCGTCTTAACATAACGACTGCAGTGATTCGCTTAACGGCTGTGGTCATAAAATGGGGCAAAGCTCTCGCCTAACGGCTGTTTTGCTTAGCAATGGAAAGGTCGTGGATCCGAGACCAAACAAATCAGAACTCCGAGGCTCAATTTGGGCTCAGTTGTGGTCATAGGTTGGGGACTACCTTAAAGCCAGGTAAAATTGGGGTTCAAATGGGATCTTTGAAGAAAAAAAAAGATATCAGTATGAGGTTCATGAGCTCAACAGATGATGTTACCTAGTTGGGTCATGAAATGTCTGCAAGAAAACAGCCCAGCTCAGGACTCCACAGTCTTCCTCCTCCTCCTCCTCCTCTCTGCAAAGCCCACTCCCTTCTAATACTGATGATGTTCCCTAGTTGGGCTATGGAACATCTACAGGAAAACTACCAAGTCAGCACCAAAGACAATACAGTCCTCCACCACCACCACCACCTCCTCCTCCTCCCTGCAAACCCCACTCCCTTCTAGCACTGATGATGTTCCCTAGTTGGGTAATGCAATGTCCACAAATCAACCGCCAAGCTCGGAGAGCACCAAGGCAGCCACTGTGCCTCTGTCCAGCCCTGACGCCAGGTCCCCGTGCGGTTGATGGAAGTCCACTTTTCTTTCGGACTTTGGGGTCTAGCGGGATTGGAAGCCCTCTTATTCCGAGCACCTGCGTGGCTCCTCCGTCGGAGAAGGGAGAAAGGCATCCAGGCCCGCCTTCCTTCCAGATCTCTGCTGAAAAGAATAGAACGGACTGTCTTTATTGTCATTGTGTAACTCGCAACTCGTAATTAAGTTGGAAGTGTTCCGTTATGGACCTCACTGCTTCTCCTCTGTGTGTTTCAGACCACATCCTAGGCACTGTGCACAACGCCAAGGGGCAGGAATTCGACACGGTCCAAGTTGCTAGAGACTTTGCGAACATTACATTGGGGTGGTACTCTAAAAGGGTGCCTGGGATTGAAGCCAGTGAGTAGAGTTTCCTTCCTCCCTCCCTTTTATGGAAACACGTTAGCTTTTGTCAGATGCGTGGTGTGGCTTGACCGACGATAAACAACAACGAAACGCAGAACGATCGATCGGGAAGAGTCTGGAAGCTGCTTTCCTTGATTCTTGGTCACATTCTAACAATGGCCATAGCCCTTAGACTTATATACAGCTTCACAGTACTTTACAACCCTCTCTAAGCAGTTTATAGAGCCAGCCTGTTGCCCCCCCCCCAACAATCTGGCTCCTCATTTTACCCACCTCGGAAGGATGGAAGGCCGAGTCACCCTTGGGTCGGTAAGGATTGAACTCTTGGCTGTGGGCAGAGTCAGCCTGCAATATTCCATTTGAACCACTGTGCCACCAGGGCCCTTCCTTCCTTCCTTCTTTCCTTTCTTCCCTCCCTCCCTCCCTCTCTCCCTCCCTCCTTCCTTCCTCTATCATCTTCCTTCCCTCCCTCCCTCCCTCCCCTCCTATCTCTTATCATCTTCCTATCTTCCTTCTTCTTTCCTTCCTTCCTTTTATCTCTATAATCTTCCTCCCCTCCTTTCCTGCCTCCCCTCCTATCTCTATTCCTTCCTTCCTTCCTTCCTTCCTTCCTTCCTTCCTTCCTTCCTTCCTTCCTTCCTTTATCATCTTCCTTCCCTCCCTCCCTTTCCTCCCTCCCCTCCTTCTATCTCTATCATCTTCCTATCTTCCTTCTTTCCTTCCTTCCTTCTGTCTCTATAATCTTCCTCCCTCCCCTCCTTTCCTGCCTCCCCTCCTCCTATCTCTATCTCCTTCCTTCCTTCCATCTCTATTCTTCCTTCCTTTCTTCCACCCTCCCTCCCTTTTCCTTCTTTTACCTTCTCTCTTTCCACCCATCCATCCTTCCATCCGTTCCCCTCCCTCCCTCCTTTTTAGGGAATCCCTGATAACAATGTCTGATCAACCATGGAACACCTCCCTTGGCCTGGGAATGGGCACCACTCAGTGCTCAAGAGTTCAGATGTGTGTTTGGAGCAGATCTGCTCAAAGAAAGAAACCCATGCCATTATACTCAGTTTTTCCTTTTCCCTCTCCTCTCTCATCCAAAGCCACCCTAGACATTGAGTGGAACTTGCTGTATGTCGCTGTCACGCGAGCCAAGAAGCGTCTCATCCTGCCCATATTTTTTACTTCTGTCCTAGAAAAGGCCAAGGTGAGTTAAAGCCATTAATGCAGATAGTCAACTTACAACTTTTCATTTAGTGACCGTTCAAAGTTACAACAGCCCTGGAAAAAGTGACTTCACATGAATGATGATTGCCGCATCCCCGGGGCCACATGATCAAAAAAGTATGGACGTTTGGCAACTGGTTCATACTTAATGATGGTGGCGGCGTCCCGGGGTCATGTGATCCCTTTTGCGACCTTCTGACCAGCCAATTCAATGGGTGTAAGCTAAATTCCCTTAACGGCTGGGAGGACTGACGTAACAACAGTGGCAAGAAAGGTCGTAAAGTGGGGCAAAATTCACTTAATAACTGCCTCACCTTGCAACGGAAATTATGCAGTTGAGGCCTACCTGTGTTCCAGTCCTCGGGAGCCCCCTGGATTCCTGGCTGGCTAATCACTTCTGGTGTTTTTTCCCCGAGGAATACTGCATACGGTTTGAACTCGCCGACAAAGTGCGCGAAACGGCATCGCTTTGGTGTTTGGAGGACGGCTGCTTCACCGTCATCCCAGCGGATTCTTTCCTAATCCCGAAAAGGATGAAGTTTGCTTACGTACGTATCTCCTTTTAGGAAGTGACCAGCTCAGTAATACTATAACCTAGTAAGGCTGCATCCAGTTTTGGTCACTGCGTTAAAGAAAAAATGTTGAGACTTTGGGGAAAGTGCAACAAAGAGCGACTAAGAGGGTCAACGGCCTGGAGACTAGAACGTGTTTCTGGTCAACTTCTCTTCCAAGCAGGAGTCAGAAATATTTCCCTCTCCTGCCGTTGCTCCTTGCAAGGATGCTTTGGAGGCAAACTGCTCCCCATTCAGAGTAACATGGAGTGCAGGCTCCTTGCTGCTCTATGAGCCTGGCGCTTTTCTTGCAGACATTTTATTACCCAATTAAGTAACATCATCAGTGCTAGAAGACATATGCTAGGAGGCTTCTAGCACTGATGATGTTACCTGTTAGGTAATAAAATATCTGTAAGAAAACAACTGAGGAATATCAAGGACCCCACAGTGATCGTTGTCGTAGTCGTCCTCCTCCCAAATTCCTCTCCATTCCAGCACTGATGATGTTACCTAGTTGGATCATGAAACATCTGCAAGAAAACCACCAAGCTCAGAGCGCTCCTCCTCCTCTTCCTCCTCCTCTTCCTCCTCCTCCTCCTCCTCCTTTCCACAAACCCCTCTCCCTTCTAGCACTGATGATGTTCCCTAGTTGGGTCAAGAAACATCTGCAAGAAAACCACCAAGCTCAGAGAGCTCCTCCTCCTCCTCCTCCTCTTCCTCCTCCTCCTCTTCCTCTTCCTCCTCCTCCTCCTCCTCCTTTCCACAAACCCCTCTCCCTTCTAGCACTGATGATGTTCCCTAGTTGGGTCAAGAAACATCTACAAGAAAACCACCAGGCTCAGAGAGCACCCAGGACCCCACAGTTCAACCCTCAGCTACAAATATTCTCTCTTATCAGCACTCCAGAATCAGGAGGATGCTATTTAGAGCCGCCTCCCATGCACACGGGTGGGTAGAGATCGTCTCTCTCTTGCAAACCTCACTTTTTTTTTTTCCCCTCAACCTTTTTCTGGCAGTCGGGCGGCATCGAAACCTCCGAGAAATTACTTTGTCCTTCTTGTGCAGCGCGGATCCTCAGCCCCGTTGCACACCTCGCAGGATCTCCCACGATGGTGGAGGAGGCCGCCCGTGCTCCAGAAGTCATTGAGGTTCCACCCGTGCTTCGCCACCTCCTCGAAGACCTTTGAGTTCTTCACACACACACAAAAAATTGCACTGGGCATTTTTCAAAGCGAAAAGAAAGCAAAGAATGTAGAAAGGAAGGGGTCCTATTGATGTGAGAGCGATGCTGTTGTTGTGGTGCCTGGAGAGTCAGAATCAGAAGGGACCTTGGGGGTCTACTAGTCCAACCCCCTCCTCAAACAGGAGGCCCTGTGCTATTTCAGATAAGTGGCTGCCCAGTGTCTTCTTAAAAAACCCCAGTGAAGAAGCCCCCTACAACTTCTGGTGGCAATCTGTTCCACTGGTTAATTGTCCTCACTGTCAGGAAGTTTCTCCTCCATTCCAGGTTGCTTCTCTGCTTGATTAGTTTCCACCTGTTGTTTCTTCTCCACCCAAGGGGGGGGACTGTGCACAAATGATTGGCCACACCTCTACCCGGTGGTTTTACGGTGCTTCCCTTCCATCCTGGAGCCAGCAGAACATCACAGCACCCACAGTACACCCTTGTCACACACCTGGGGACGTCTGGGCTGCTGTCCTTACGGCTTCCCCATTTCTCCCTCTTGCACAGCCGGTGGTTCCCTTGGCTGAAATGTCCAACTTTTGCCATCCTATCAAAAGGAATAGCAACAGCCCCTAGACCAGTGGTTCTCAACCTTTTTAGTGCTGCGACCCCCAACCGGTCGTAAGTCGAGGACTACTCAACCGGTCGTAAGTCGAGGACTACTCCACTGGTGCAGCCCCGTTTGCAGAATGGGACTTTTGGCGGGCTCAGCAGGGCAGAGACAGCCTGGACAATTCCTATTGGCTTTTGAAAGCCAATAGAATTAGACTCTATTCAAGAGAGTCTATTCTATTGGTTTTCAAAAGCCAATAGAATAAAAGGGAGTAGCACAGCTAAGGAAAAGGGGGAAAAAATGGTGGACTGTGTTGTTTGGCGACCCCCGTGAAATGGTCCTTCGACCCCCAATGGGGTCCCGACCCACAGGTTGAGAACCACTGGACTAGACCTATATAGCGCTTTACTGGCCCCTCTAAGCGGTTTACAGAGTCAGCCTATTTGCCCCCAACCATCTGAGCCCTCATTTTACCCACCTCCGAAGGACGGGAGGCCGAGTCAACCTTGAGCCCGTCAGGATCGAACAGCTGGCAGTGGGCAGAGCCAGCCTGGATGGGATCCTGCATTCTAAGCACAGCGCCCCCTTGTATTGTGTCGTATTGTGGTTGTAAGTTGAGTTGACTTCCTCTATTGTTCCGGACAAACGTCCAGTCTCTTCTTAAAAACTTCCAGTGTTGGAGGAAGAGCCACGATTTTGAGGTATTAATTATTGTTAATCATGAATTGTTCTCCCTGTGATCTCCTTGCGGTCCAAGAGACTTCTCCAGCACAATTTGAAAGCACCCAACTCTCACAGCCCTACATTACAACCAGGCTTCATTCAGTGTGTGGGTTTCTGGAGAGAAATCCTAAGCCAAAATGTAGTTTGCTTAGTTTTGATTTAGCATGTTTCTAAACCAAGTTTGTAAATCATGCTATGTGATTTTGGTAGTGTGAATCCCAATTGTGGCTTAGCTAACCAATCATGGTTAAGTAGCAATATCAAAAGGACTTATATACCGCTTCACAGCACTTTAAGGACTATCTGTATTCCCAATCCTTCCTTCCTTCCCTCCCTCCCTCCCTTCCTTCCTTCCCTCCTTCCTTCCATCCATTCCTCCCTTCCTTCCCTCCCTCCCTCTCTCCCTTCCTTCTTCCTTCACAGCAATAGCATTTATACACTGCTTCACAGCACTTTACAGCCCTCGCTACATAGTTTACAGAGTCAGCCTGTTGCCCCCAACAATCTGGGTCCTCGTTTTACCGACCTTGAGCTGGTCAGGATCGAACTGCTGGCAGTCGGCAGAGTTTGCCCGCGATTACAGGTACTCCTCAACTTACAACGGACAATGTTCAGTGACCGTTCAAAGTTATAACAGCACTTCTGACAAGCAAAGAAGCAGGACTGTTTCACACATACAACTTTCGCCACCTCCATTGATTAAACTAACTTGACAATTGATTTATATTTATGATGGTTGCTGTGGTCGCAGAAAGGGATCACGTGGACACTGGGACCGTCATAAATGTGAGTCAGTTGCCAATTTTGATCACGTGAGCCTGGGGAGGCTGCAACAGTCGTGTGAAAAGCGGTCCTGAGACACTTTTTTCAGTGTCGTAACTTGGAGTGGACACTAAATGAACTGTTGTAAATCGAGGACTATCTGTCGATTTATCTGATTGGGCCTCCTTGCCCTGTGGTGGATATGCGTTCGAGTTTTTAGGCCAATTTATCAGCCGCTGGCTTTCTGTGCTGAGAGGAGAATAGCAAGCATAAAAATGTTTAATTCTGGTTCCCTTGTGGACTTCAAATTTGAGAGAGGCTCTTTCAATGCCGGTGTTCCTAAAAGTCAGGCAATCTGCTTTTTTTATATATCTAGTAAAGGTTTTATACATTTAAGCCACTCCAGCAGCCTTGCGCAAACCCCAGGGCCCTGGGGTATGTGTTTTTTTATAAAGTGAGGTGTTGCTTTTTTTAAAAAACACAGTTTTTGCAATGAAAAGGTAAAAAGAAGGTGATTTTTCCAAATTCCCGTCTTTCCAATTACTCTTTAGCACTTTCGCATTTGTTCTTTTGTTTTTAGTATGTTTTTCAGAAAAAAATGTTTGCTTGCTTATATGAATGAATCAAATAAACTAGTAATGGATGCGTCACAGTGATAAGGACTATTTCCTTCTTTGTGAAGTCTGAATGGATGGACGGATGGATTAGATAGATTAGATCAGTGATGGCAAACCTTTTAGAGACCCCAGTGCCCAAAAACTGGCCCCGCCCCACTCCACCCCTTGCCCCGCCCCTGCTCTGCCCCACCCCGCCTGCCCGCAGGGCCACTCACCACCTCCAGGGTCCGTCACAGATCACCCAACAGCGCCATGGTGGCCACGCCCTCTGCCCGCGTCCCACAGCCTCAACTGTACGATGGGGCCTGAGGGCCGAGTCTTGTCTACTCTGCCTGGCTGCCATGTCCTTGGCTGCACTGCTCTGCGTGGGCCACACTCGGAGGCGACTCTCTTCCAGGGGGGCTGCTGGTGAGGAGGGGGCCGCTGGTGAGGAGGGGGCCGCGGGGGAGGCAAGGCTGGGGCAACGGCACGTGTGCCCACAGTGAGGGCTCCGAGTGCCGCCTCTGGCACCCGTGCTATAGGTTCGCCACCACTGGATTAGATGATAGATAGATAGATAGATAGATAGATAGATAGATAGATAGATAGATAGATAGATAGAAATAGAGAGATGATAGATATACATAGATGAGATAGATAGATAGATAGATAGATAGATAATGATAGATGATAGAAATAGTAGAAGATAAATGATTTGTTGTTAGTTGCGAAGTTGTGTCCGACCCATCGTGTCCGACCCATCGTGACCCATGGACAACATTCCCCCAGGCCTTCCTGTCTTCTACCATCTTCTGGAGTCCATTGAAGAGCACGCCTTTTAGTACTATCCATGGAGTTTTCATGGCAAAGATACTGGAGTGGGTTGCTGTTTCCTTCTCCAGTGGATCACATTTTGTCAGAACTCTCTGCTATGGCCTGTCCGCCTTGGGTGGCCCTGCAGGGCATAGCTCATAGATAGCTTCATTGAGTTATGCAAGCCCCTTCGCCACGACAAGGCAGTAATCCATGAAGGAGAAGATAAATAATGATGTGGAAGGGACCTTGGAGGTCATCAAGTCCAGCCCCCTGCTCAGGCAGGTAACCTTATGCCATTTCGGACAAATGGCTGTCCAGTTTCTTCTTAAAATGATATAGATAATAGATGACAGTAGAAGATAAAAGATAGATGGTAGAAGATAAATGATAAATAGATCGACAGATGATTGATAATTAGATGATATAGATGATAGATGATAGAAATAGAAGATAAATGATAGATAATAGATGATAGAAATGATAGAAATAGAAGATAAAAGATAGATAATAGATGATAGAAATGATAGAAATAGAAGTTAAATGATAGATAATAGATGATAGAAGATACAAGATAGATGATAAATAATTAGATATAGATGATAGAGATATAGATAAATGAAAGATAGAAATAGTAGAAGATAAATGATAGAAGATAAAAGATGATAGTTGATAGGTACAGACAGATAGTAGAGTGGATGTATTCTGGAACGTATATGTAAACCTAACTAGAGAGCAGGTATCAGTGTGTTAGAGTGTCTGGCAGTTATTGGGTTAAATGCTAGGTATGTTGATGGGTCAGTGGGCGGAGTCTCAAAGGTCATTGGGAGACTTCCTGGACACAAGCCACATGGGAATCTCTTTGTCTGTAAGAAGCATGGGCCATGGAAGGTCACACAATAAGCCTGAGCCATTATAAAGATGGTATGGAAGAGCATCATACTTTTACCTAAAGAGATGGTCTAAAGAAATGGACAAAGGATGTATTTTCCAGGAGTATCAACCACAGCATGAATGCAAGTAATCTTTCTAATAAATATATTTTTTGTTTATTGTAAGATCTTTTCTTTTGAGTTATCTATCTGACTGGATTTAAAAGAAGGCGTTGTTTTATATCTGAGTCAGAATAGGATGGATGAAATAGGATGGATGGATGGAAGAGAAAGATATTTACACAGTGCATGGATGAAAATCAGAATCCATTGGGCCACCAGATGGCAGGAGAGAGATATAAACTGGAAGATTGTGTTTTACACAGACACACAAACACATCCATGATCTTATTTGTTTCTCTTTGAAAAACCAGCAGATTGTCAAGCAGATTTTAACTTTGGTTTTTTTTTGTAAAGCCAAGGTCGATTCCTGTTGATTTTATGGACACGTCCAGGAAGTGATCTGCTTTCTGGACACTTTTTAACTCCTCCGTCTCACTGACAGCCCTGGGATTTTGTAGCGGTGCCCCCTCCCATCCCGCTAACCAGATCTGAACCACGGGGATCTTTTCCCAAGCTCAGCCAAGGTCAGCTTGGTGCTGCCAAAGTCTCAGCTTACAAGGATGATACTCTCGGTTGCATCCCTGCTGAGAGGACCATAGGATGACTTTTCTTTCGACCCTTCTCAGCGTTGTCCCCCCATTAAAAAAACAACAACCGGTATTAGGAATTATATTTCACACAACTGTCCCTACTCTCCTGTTTTTACAGAGAAATAGGGAACAGTCAATGTATGTTTTTTTAAATAGTTAGCCTACAGGTAGTTCTCAACTTACGACCACAGCTGAGCCCAAAATTTCCGTCGCTAAGCGAGACACTGGCGAAATGAGTTTGGCCCCCGTTTAAAAACCTTTCTTGCCACAGTTGTTAAGTGACAAAACGGTTTTTCACACAGCGTCCCCACGGTCACGTGATCAACGTTCGGACACATGGCAGTGATTCACTTGATCACTCTGGGAAGAGAGGTCGTAAAATGGGGCAACTGGCTCCTATTTGTGACGGTTGCAGTATCCCAAGGTCATGCGATCCCCTTTTGCGACCTTCGGATGAACCAAGTCCGTGGGGGAAACTGGATTCACTTAACAACCGTCTTATTAGCTTAACAGCGGCAGCGATTCACTTAATAACTCTGGGAAGAGAGGTCATAAAAAGGGGCAAAATTCACTTAGCAATAGACATTGCGGACGCAAGTCTAGGGTGACCTGTACTTGGCTCTTTTCTAGATTTCCCCATCAGCTTGCAGAGAGGGTGCCCAA